TGATTATTGTCTGCAAGTTAACACTAGAGAAAAACTATATGTAAGTGAAACCATAAACCCCTATTTTTTTGAGACTTGAACCCCTGACCTCTCTTTGAAAAGTATACATATCACACTTTCCACGTGTAAAAAATACTCCTAACATTTTAATTTGGTGCAAATAGGACCATCTGACAAATTTAAATCCTAAATTAATAAAATTATCCTTAGTGAACTATTTTATAAAAAATATAAAAATAAATAATTTTGTAAAATTACCAAAATGATACTATTGGAGGACGTCTCTCACATGCAAAAAACACCCTAAAATTTTAATTTGATGCAAATAAATCTCTCTGACAAATTTAAACCTTAAGTTGACTAAATTACTCTGGAAAAAAATTATGAGTGTTTTTTATACACTTTTTTAAATAGGGGTAAAAGTGGTACGCGGAGTATACTTTAGGGGTGTTTTCTACACTTTTATATATATATATATATATATATATATATTGACAAAAATGAAGTTTGATGAAGCAATTATAGTGAGAAAATTGACGTTAAAAAATTTATATTTACAGTAGGAAAATGAAGTTTGGAAGAACACTTAGGTGAGAGGGAAAAAAACCTTGGGGTTAACTTTCTCTTCACAACTAGCTTTGCACCGATGCATAATTATTGGATAAAAATATGCAACATTGCCAAACCTTTTTTTTCACATGCGACTATGCGAGTGCATTAGTAAATCATGTATTATTAATCTATGTTAGTAAATTTTGTAGCATTTTAAGGAAAAGATCCAGCATTCTAATTTCCATAAAACAAAAATGAGTATGTGATAGATATATATATATATATATATATATATATATATATATATATATATATTTTGTCAAAGTACAGATAATTTTATTTTATTTTTTTATTTTTTATTTTTTTGACAAGGTTACGTAGACTAACAGTGACCAATTGTTCCATTAATTAACACATTTTGATTTTTTTTCCCTCAAATATCAAAGATATGGTGGAGGAGGGTCCGTGTTTGCACCATAAAAATAATTTTTTTAATTTAGACACATGATATTGTTTGATTGGAGGAGAAGATATGTACCGTGTTATTAAATAGGACTCCTATATAAAATTGGAGTCTAAAGTCAATAAATTGTTTACGTCAATTTTATTCTACAAATACGATTTATTTGGATAAATTTAAGACAAAAGGCAAAAGGTGGATAAGATTAAGACAAATGTAGTTTTTATAATTCAAATGATGGTGGATAAGATTAAGACAATGGTAGTTTTTATAATTCAAATGATATTTGAATTTAAAAAGAAAACTGTTCCTAGAAAGTTTCTCTATAAATAGAGACCGGAGGAGTCTGTGCAAAAGGTCCCTGACTAACCCAACGCATTTTCTTTATCAATGTTTGTTGTATTTTACTTCTGTTCAATGTTTGTTGTATTTTACTTCTGTTCATAGGAGTAGGCTGTAGTGATGAAATAAAAGTCGACGCTTGGCTTCAATCCTCTCTACTTTTTATTTCTAAGTCTCTTTGAATAGATGAATGCTCGTGTAATTTGTTTTATTCCCTTTATCCATTCTACATATAATGCTAAAAGTCCTTTTTATTGAGGCGTTGAAGAACCTGAAGGAAGGGATCATCCTTGCCTTCCAGCTAGGGTGCAACTTGGGCTGACCCAACCCAGGCCAACCCTAACCCAATCTCAACCCGAAATCTGGTTGGGTTGGGTCAACCCGAATTGCACCCAACATGGGTTGGGTTATAATCCGGACCAAATATATTTGGGCAGGTCAGGTCAAGTTCACGGGTTATTTTTTTATTTTTTATTTTATATATATATTTTTAATGTATATTTGATTATATTTTTAGTAACTAGAATCAAAAGTTCAAAATCCATATATTTCAGAAGTTCAAAACCCATATATTTCAAACTTTCATTTTATCCATCTATCTGCAAGAATCAAAAGTTCAAAATGATCAGATTGTTTAAAAAATCAAAACTCATATCTTTCAGTTTCTAGCTTGCCCCCCTCTAATTATAACAATTTCAATAATGAAAATGCCATGGTACAATGCATGTAATCTGGGCAGTAAAGTTCAAACTTTATGCTACTTTTTCTCACAAATATAAAATAATAAACTTATAAATAGCACATTAATGAAGGGACTAGAGAGAGACAATGTAAGATCCATGATTATGATAATCAAAGAAAAATATGCTAAAATATATTTAAAAAATAAAAAAGAGAGATGAATTTTGTTTTACAGATTGCACTCCACCTGTTTAATCTTTTAAGTAAAGTGACAGGTTATTTATAAGCATACCATTTCTGCAATAATTGCAACATTTTTTTTTTATTTTTTTTATTTTTATCAATCTCAATGGAAACTTACAAAAATAAAGTTACACTCCTCAGTCTCTTCTTATATATATATATATATCTACACACCTGTGTCTTCAATCCAGCAAAATGGCCACGCAGACCCATTCACTCCATTCTCTATTCGCTTCCGTCCCACTCACCTATAAAAGCTCACGTTGATCTATCCCACTCTTGAAGTTGAAACCAAACACTCTGATTATCGCCGAAAAATCTGACCCACAAATCTCTGGCCGCAAGCTGCGCGCCGCCGTCATCGGCTGGGGCCCAGCCGGATCCTCCGCGGCTGAAACCCTCGCCGCCTCCGGGATCGAGACCATTCTCTTCGAGCGCAGCCCTAACGGTGCCAAGCCCTGCGGCGGCGCCATACCTCTCTGCATGCTCGACGAGTGTCCGTCCCGCCGGAGCTCATCGACCAGAAAGTGACCCAGATGAAGATCATCTCCGCCTCCAATCTCACCATCGATTTCGGCAAAACCTTAAAGCCCACGAGTTCATCTCCATGCTTTGTCGTGAAGTACTAGATTCCTAACTACGCTCTCGCGCCGAATCCAATGGCGCAAGCATCATCAAAGCCTTCGTAGTGAAGTACTAAGTTAGGGTTTGTGACTTTGTGTTTATTAGATTATTATTTTTTTTTATGAAATGTTTAATTTGGCTTTCGGGTTGGCTTCGGGTTGAACCCAGCCCAAACCGAAAAAGGTTGGGTTTTAAAGATATGATCAGAAAACAATAACCATTAATTACCGAAGCAGATTAACCCAACCCGACTTAAACCCAAATTGTGAATTTATATGTGCAGATTTTAAAATTTATGGACTGGACTCGGATTGGGCTGGGCTAGCCCGCCCAAATTGCACCCCTACTTCACGCCCCTAAAAAAACAGCAAAACAGTACATGAACGTAAATTAAAGATTTTTATTTATTATTAGGGTAAAGTACACCAATATCTTTTGAGGTTTGACATAAGGATAGGTAAATGAAAGTTGTCATACTTTTAGACAATCACACCCTCTCAAGTTTGATAAAATGGACAAAGACACCTGATAATAGTGAATTGATTTTATTACCCTTTGATATGAAATTGACAAATACAATATCTTTGAATCAAATAAGTTTAAATGGGTTATTGGGTAAAACCCAAATTTTCTCTATCCTTACCCTCTTCTTTTCTTTCCCCCCTCTCAAACCCTAACGTACCCAAACAACTAATACATATATGTATATATTATCGGTATAGACACACGCACATATACACACATCATCACCACCACAAATCACACACACATATCACCACCACCACAAATCACGCACACTACCGCATCATCATCATCCCTCAACATCATCATCATCAATTCATCATGGTGATGAGTAAGGAAGACAGAATTGCAGAAAATGAACCAACAAAGAGAGACCAGTTCGATGAGCTTACCCAATGCCGGAGTACACAAGTCATATAAAAGTACCATGCATTAGGCTTAACGGTGGCAGTGGCAATGGGTGTTCGGTGAGGGCGGCGGTGAGTGTTTTTGCAGCTCGGTTGATTCTCTTCGTCTTCGGCAATGACATTGATGGAGTCCGATCTTGATCTAACCCATAACGGCGCTCAAAATTGGAGCTTGATCTTGACCTAACCCACAACAACAGCGATGTGAGATGGTGGCTTCAAGACGATGACGATGATGTGAGACGGTAGCTTCAAGATGACGACGGCTTCTTCACCGCAACAGAGCCCCGAAAAAATGGAGCACAATCAAATCTGTACCCCCAGATCGACCACAACAGAGCCCCGCAGCGAGCGAAACCTCAATTTCGTTGAAGATGGTGAGTCACTTGTCGGCTGGTGGTTGGAAGTTGTGGAGGTGGTGTCATAGCTGAAGCTTTCGAGTCTGGGTTGGGGTGGTGGTGACTGTCGTGTGGTTGTGTGTGTATATATAAATCTATATAGAGGGAGAAAGAGAGATAAAAAGGGTAATTTGGTTATTTAAGTATTTTGATATTTTATAATTAAAATTAATAAAATAGTGAAGGGTAAAATGAATTTGATATTTTCACATGTTTTAAGGTTCTATTTGAATGACAAATTTCACAACAGGGTGTGGTTGTCTAAAAATAGGCAAACTTTCATCTGCTTGGTCTTACCCAAACTTTAGGAGTGTTTTTTGTATTTTACCCTTATTATTATTATTATATATATATATTTTTTTTCTTTAGAAATGTTATTTTGTTTGTTTGATTTTTTTTTTTTTTTTGGTTGAAGTAATAAATAACAAAAAAGGGAAAACATTTATAAATCCAAGCTTTTTTTTTTTTCGGATGATCTTGTAAATAAAAGTTTTTTTTGGGGATAAAGCTTTTTTTTGGGTAAGAGCTTGTAAGTAGAAGTTAATTGCTAGAAAAAGAACACTTTTTCGAGAATAAGGCTATATTTAGTATAATAGAGAGAATAAGGCTATATTTAATATAATAGAAAAGAAAATAAAGGAAAATATTAGTTAGGAAGAAAAAGAAAGAAAAGACAGCAATAGTTTCCTTTTACACTTTAGTCTCTCCTTCCAAAATCTTTCCTTTTCGTTCCTTTCCCAAACACAATTTTTTATTCCCCTCCGTTACCTTTCTTTTCCGTTCTACCAAAGTGGGCCTAAGTTCGCAAAAACGCGTCAACAAATTGGGCAAAGCCTCGTCTCCTGTGACCAAGTAAGTTCTCTCTTTCTCTCTCTAGTTTCTCACTCTACAAACGCACACTCTCTCCTCTGCTCAAACACCCCGATTCTGAAATAGGTATCAAACGCTCTCTCTCCATCTTCCTTCAATTTTCGAATGTTGTTTTTTTCTCTTTAATTTTATTGAATTTTCCCTGTTTTATTGTTATCTCTGTTTCTGTTCCTTTCTTACTTTCTTCACAATTTTATGGTTTTGTCAATCGAAAGGTTGCGATTCAATCGGAATTAGGGTTTTTGATTCTAACTCATAGTTGAAAATTGTAGTGTTTTGGTGGGTTTAATTGTGAATTGAGACCCTTTGGTTGTGGTTTTACAGTTGATTGTTCAGAAATTTAAGTGCTTTTTATGGGGAAAGGTTCGAAGAGTGGTGGATGCAAGTCTGCATCTCACCAAGTCTTCAAGGACAAGGCGAAGAACCGCGTGGATGATCTTCAGGGCATGGTTACGAATCTTCAATCCGCGATGAAGGAGAGCCGTTCGATCGATGTCGCTGTGCACGTAGAGCAAGTCAATCAGATCCTTCGTGAGTGGAAAAAGGAACTCAATGAACCCTCTCCAGCATCTTCTCTTCAGGTTTTACATATATATATATATATATATATATATATATGTATGTATGTATATATTTATATGCTTGTGTAGTTTGTGTATTTGATTTTTGATTGCAATGTTAATTGTTGATGATTGTTCAGGGTGGGAGTCTTGGGTCTTTCTCGTCGGATATTTGTAGGCTGTTGCTGCTTCGCGACGAAGAAGATGATGCCACTAGTGCATTAGCTGCCCCAAAGCCTGAGCCCGATGGGCAAAAAGTCAGCAACAATGCCATCTTCCTGGAGGTGTATATTCTATTTAGAGTTAGTTTGGTTTATGTATTAATTGTCGAATTTTGTAAGAAAAACTGTTCGGACTTTGGTGTCATAAAATTGGTTCACCGGTGCACACATAGATAGAGGAAGAGTTTAATATGTTGCCAATCTGAACTGCTGAAAGAAACAATTTCAATTTATGGATATGAATGAATTAGAGGGACTTTAAGTAAGAGATCTTGAAGAATTAATGATTTCATGTGGTGCGTTGAGAGGTGACGACGCAAAATTTTCAATATAAATAATTTCAGTCCTGATGGATATTTCTTGTGGCTTTGTGTCGTTAATTCATGATGTGCAATGCTTATGTTTTTTGAACAAGTGCTTACAATATGTGTGGCTTTCTAATCTCAAATCTATGTTTCTAGTTGCAAAAAGAAAAACCTATGCAACAGTACATTTTTACTATTCATTATACCCTGGTTGAAGTTTCTTTCTTTCTAACATAATATTGGAAAAAGATGTTATGTCTGATGTGCCTGTCTTTGATTCCTCGCATGGTTCTTTTATGCCACCGTTTCAAAGTGTTGGGGGGAAATATACTTCTGTTTTTTCTGTTATGTTTTTGTTTGCCTTTTTTTTTTTTTTTTCCTCTCTCTCTCTCTCTCTCTCTTTTTCTCTCTACTTTATATCTTAGCTTCCATTTTCACTTCGAAATTTGCATCATGTGTTTGTGCATTGCTCTTAAATGTAAACTACTAAACTGGAAAATTATTTTCTTGGTTATCAGTGGAGCCAATGAACAGCTTGTGGTTGATTGCTTCGCATGAAGTTGTTATAGGATTCCTTCCCCCTTTTTAATACAATAACACTTTTTTTTATCTTTTCGAAATGTTAATACAATAACACTTGACAACTATGTCTTATGTCCAACATCTTATTGTTGGCTGGAGTTATTACATTTCGCCATTTAACTATTCTAGGGCCACATCTCATGTAATATGATAGTCCTAATGGCTTTTCTTTCAAGCTCAACCCAAATTTATTTTTGGCTGTCCCTTATTCAGTAATTTCTTATTCATAGTTTTCATGTGTTGTCTATTGGCCATTCATTCTGAAATCCTTATTTCATCTGTTTTAATTTTACGTTTGCGTGGTGTTAACTTAGCTTTTATACCATGTTGCAAGTCCGACCTGATAATCGTATGACAGCGGCTTTTCTTTCACTTTTCAAGCATTTTCCAATTTGGTGATCACATGAAAGTCATCTCCACTGATGTTTTCTTGCTTGAAGTCTATGAGCAACACCGTTTCCAATTTTGGCTTTTCTTTTGCTTTTCAATTATTTGCCCATTTGGTGATCACATGACACTCATAGATTGAATATCCAAGATCTACTTATGTTTTCTTGCTTCGAGTCTATAAACAATAGTTTTTAACTTTTTCCAGTTTCTTCTTTCCAATGGATGATTGATCTTGGCTATTAAAATGTCAATTGTGGTGCTTCACTGCTTCTGAATAATATCTATATTCCCTCATATGTTAACATTGTTAAGTGCACATTTCTTTTTACCTTGACCTCTGTTATCTTAAAATGCATATTTCCATAAATCTGTCATTAGATATTCTGTATAATAGTTTGATTGACTAAACTTGTATCATCATAGAACATGCACCTTGGAATATTTACTGTAATATCCTAATGTTGTACTTAAAATAAATAAATAAATAAATAAAAGACCCTATGCAGTGAGCTTTTATGGTTTGATATTCACATGTTTATCTTTTGACCTTTCTTACACTAGTTAACAATATGGCATTGCCAATAAATTTATCTAGTTTTTCTACTTCCGTTCTAAAACCTACTGCTATCTAGTTCATCTTTGAAGTCATACAGAAACCTTTTTTTTTTTTTTTTTTTTTTCATATGGACCTTTATTTAAACAGTTTGTAATGAGAGAGCTTTGCTGATCCTTCTAGCATAAACCTAGTTGAATTTCAATTATCTTTTTCATTTCTGAAGAAAGAAAGAAGGGAAAAGAAATCTTTACCAATCACTCTGGGAGGTTACACATGATTCATTGATTCTGTAGTGCAGTGGTTAGTTCGACTCTGAAGGAACTCAGGTCCTTCAGGTGTAATGAGCTGTTTGATAGTTGGCTTGCTATACAGCCAATGAGTTCTTTTACATGCTATAAAGCTTTTGATGGGCTTCAAATCCTACTCTGAGGGTGTTTTAAGCTTCGGTCCTGTCTACTTCTTGGTAGTGCATATAGTTTATTGTCTGGGTAGCACTCTCTGGCTCTAATCTAATGTCCTCTGAGATTTTCTATTGAATTATTTTTGACAATTCTTCAAGTTCTCATTAATCTCAGTCATTTTTAAAAATATGCTTTTTCCTTTTTCACTTAGATGCACTTAGCTCAACAAGGTCCTAGCTTTTACTGATTACTCATTCTAGCAATTTAGCATACATCATTCATTCAGTCATCTGATTTTGCTGGTATTAATGCATTCCTAGATCCCTAGATTCCTTCATATGAAGGTTCATTCTTAGTTGCATTCAACACTGTACTATTACTATAAATCCTCTCATTCCATTTCCATTTCCTCTCTTCTATTTTTTTCCCCCTTCAGCTACTACTATTTTTCTCCTTCAATTTTCTTGCACCATATAATATTAGACAGTTATATATTCCACTCTTCTTCCTTATTCTGTGAATATACCTTTTTTCCTTTCCATATAAGAGAGAGAGATAGAATTTAATTATTATCTTGTTTTGCAATTTTGGATTATTCCCTTTTCTTTCTCCTCTGCAACTCTAATAGAGTTAATCAACACGCCTTAAGTCGTTTCCTTTATGTTTCTAAGTCTTTTGAGGGATGTATGAGTGCTGACAAGTTATTTAATGGATTTTGCAGCAGGGATTTAGTGTGAACCAGGGTCCACAGGAACAAGAATTTCAGTTGGTTGATCAATGCAAAGGCTGTCCTTCAGAAATTCACAACATGGAAGCCAGTAACTTTGGCATTGCTACTCAGCCGGGCTATCACGCAGTTGATTTGCAACAAGACTTTGCTGAGAATTTCTTTGCTGATTTTGATGGTATGGGTCTGTGTGGAGAGGATGGTGTTCCTCAGATCTCTGACTGTTTGCAAAATATTAGTATTCCACCTTCGGCTTTCTTGGGGCCAAAATGTGCACTCTGGGATTGTATCAGGCCTGCTCAAGGGGTGGTCTGGTGTCAAGACTATTGCGGTACTGAGCATGCTAAATGGGTTTTGAATGAAGGCCAACCTGGTATGGCTCCAGTTCTGCGACCTGGCGGCATTGTTCTGAAGGATTCAGTGCTTTTTAATGCTCTTAGGGCAAAAGCACAAGGAAAAGTTGTTGGTATTCCAGAATGTGAGGGTGCTGCGACTGCAAAATCCCCATGGAATGCTCCTGGTAGTTCTTCATTGCCTTAAATTTTGTTATTTTTCCCCCACTAAATTGAGGCTGACATTATGGTCATTAATGATTTCGTTTATGGTTTTTTTGACTAATTGATTTCCTTGTATTACTGCAGAGCTTTTTGATTTTACAGTTGTTAACGGTGAAATAATTAGGGAATGGCTCTTTTTTGATAAACCTCGAAGAGCATTTGAGAGCGGGAACAGAAAGCAAAGGTCATTGCCAGATTATAATGGACGCGGCTGGCATGAGTCAAGGAAGCAAGTGATGAATGAATCTGGTGGGCTGAAGAGATCTTATTATATGGATCCACAGCCAATGAATAATTGTGAATGGCACCTTTTTGAGTACCAGATAGACAAATATGATGCGTGTGCCCTATATAGGTTGGAATTCAAGCTTGTTGACAGCAAGAAGAGTCCAAAAGGAAAGCCAACAAATGATTCGGTTGCTGACCTGCAGAAGCAGATGGGAAAGCTTACTCCCTCAGACAACAAGCGGTCTGCCAAGGGGAGAACAAAAGCTAATCTGAAGGATGGTGTTGGAAATGTTGTTTCTGCTCCAGAGCAAATTACACCTACAATTGAAGGGTTTGATAATGTAACTGATGGGACGAGAACTAATTTGAAGGATGGTGCCGGAAATGTTTATTCTGCTCTGAAGCAAATGGCATCTCCAAGTGAATGGTTTGATGGCATAACAGGTGTACCCTATGATTATAATTCAAGTGGCTATTACTTAAAGTAGTTGAAGAAACCTTGCTGCATGTGGAACAAGCAGCATTTTCGTGTGGTGTACAGCGGCTGAATGGTTGCGCTATGACCTTTAGGCAGCGGTTAATTCGATCTTTGATTTTCTTCTCTTCGTGTCATTTGGTGCATCGCACATCACGCATGAGAAATATTGTGCATATTAATTTCATCTGGTGGATATTTTGCATAGTTCATTGTCATCGGAAGGATATTGTGCATAGTTCATTGCCATCTAGAGGTTCAGTGCTGCATTGGACTGATTAGGATGCTGGCATCTATTCTAGCCTCTGGATGATGGTCTGTTCTAACTGCAAATTTACTTTCGTTCTGTGTTTATTTTTCTTAATGTGTTGTTATATGGTGGCACCAGAACTGGAATAGTGGTGACAATATTTACCTGTAACATCTGTCAGACCTTACTTAGGTTAAGACTTTCTTGCTGACTACATAGGATGGTGTTAACGAAAAATGTTAGCGGCAATATGTAACTTCTCGTTGCTGGTTATACACAATGCTTTTCTAAGAGTTGTCAGCGCTCAAAATTATGTATATGGATATCATTTCAGTTTTTATCAAAAGTGGTGGTTCCTTTCGTTTTGATGATTCAAACTACCTTTCAAAGTGGAATGTGAGGTTCCTCTTGATAGTGCTTTTAAGAGTTACTGGTTATTTGATAATTTGATAGTGGTATTTTCTCTCCCTCTCGTGGTATGTGAGGGTTTAATTTTCACTATTCTTTTGACCGATCTTTTATATGTATATATAGATATAGATTTTTTTGAGTTATTAGATGACTCTTAATTCAATGGTAGAACATCTCATCTCTTAATTTAGAGGTCCCACTAAGAATAAATAGATAATGGCTTGTGCTATCTTAAAAAGAAAAAAGGTAGTCACACTCCTTGAAGTTTAGTTAAAGGACATTTAGGGAAAACTTACCTGTTTTTTGGATAAAGACACCATCTGAAGGTTCAAAAATGAATAAGACATTCCTTTACATGATAAATTGACCAAATTCTCCTTTAACTGTTTATGAGACTTTTTTAACTTTACAATTTAATAAATTGGACCAATTTACCATTATGAACAATTTATGCATAAAAAAAAAAAAAATTATTATTTACTTTATAAATGTCCCAACTTTTTAAAAATGTATACGATTTATTGATTCAATACATATATTTCAAATAAATTATATTTTGTTATTACTTTTTTTCTTTTTCTTTTTTATTTTTAAATTAAGATGCTTAATTCTTTCATCTAAAAAATTTAAACTAATTTTTTTTTTAAAAATAAAAAATGTGATACTAGTATAACTTTATGCATCTTAAATTATATATCAAATATTATGCATTTTTCAACATAAAAGGGAAAAAAAATAATAATAAAACAAAGAGAAAAAAATAATAATAAAATAGAGGGGAAAAAAAAAAAAAAAGAAAAAGGAATGCATAAAGTTATACTAGTATTTATTTTCTTTTATGTTGGGAAATGCATAATATTTGATATATAATTTAAGATGCATAAAGTTATACAGCTACCATATTTTTTATTTTTAAAGAAAAGAGATTGGTTTAATTTTTTTTAGATGAAAGAATTAAGTATCTTAATTTTAAAATAAAAATAAAGAAGAAAAAGAAAATAACTAATAACAAAATATAATTTATTTGAAATATATGTATTGAATCAAAAAATCATTTTAGACGTCCACATTTTTAAGAAGTTGGGACATTTATAAAGTAAATAACCAAAAAAAAAAAAAAATGTCAACAATATAAAGTTTTTTTTTTTTTTTTTTTTTTTTTTTTATGCATACATTATTCATGAAGGTAGATTGGTCCAATTTATTAAATTGTAAAGTTAAAAAAGTCTCCTAAACGGTCAAAGGGTAATTTGGTCAATTTTTCATGTAAAGGGGTGTCTTTATCTATTTTTGAACCTTCAAAGAGTGTCATTGTCCAAAAAATAAGTAAATTTTTTCTGAGTATTTTATTAAAATCTTAAGGGGCTGTGATTATACTTTATCCTGAAAAAAAAAAAATATATATTTACGTAGGACATCGTAACAGAGAAATTTATCTGGTGGGATCTAGACGATTACTGAAGGGGCCCAATCTAAAGTGGTAAATCAAAACATCACAAGCCCACCTAGTGGGGCCCAAATATGATGCACAGTTACAAACAACCTCAATGCACAAACGAGAGAGTTTGCGAAACATAGCCTCATTTTAGAGCTCGAAACATTCATCAATGGCGGTCCTTCAATCTCTCCCTCTCACTACTCCACTCTTTCTCTCTCATCACCACTCTCTCACCAAAACAAACCTCCCCAAATTACCCCTCAGGCTCCCTAGATATCCCCTCTCTATCCTCGCTTGTTCGGCTCCGCAGTCTCTTCCGGCGACCGAGCAAGACATACTCGAAGCCATCGCGATGTCAGACGGCGACAACGTGAAGTCCCTTCCCTGCGTGAGAACTTACGAGAACGACCTGGCTCGGCTCACGATAATCGGAGCGGTCGGTTTCGAGCAGGCGTTGACTGCGGCTGCCGCCGACGGCGGTGAAGCCGCCGCGGCGCACCTTTCTGCCTCCATGTCGGCGATGGTTGTGGAGACCGTGTATCCGGGGCCTTCCGACGAGCACAGCACCGTCTCTACTCGACTGGTTAGTTCGTTTTCACTGGTTTCTGCCTCTAAATGTACGATCTTTAGTGTTTGTATAAGTTAATTCAGTACTTAATTTTGAATAAATTGATTTATTATTCAATTTCAATGCGTTTTGTAATGCAATTTCTATATCAATTAGAGAAATAAGTTCTAGGAGAAAACAATTTACGAAGGGAAACTTTAATTGTAGTTGAACAGTTGAAATTCAATTGAAAAAAAAAAAAAAAAATTCAAACGAGTATCAAGGAAATTCTTGATTTGCAATTACCATTTAAAATTTCAATTTTAGCTATTAAAATTTTCAGTACTTGATTTTCACTTTAATCAAACAAAAACTTGGTTTTTTTTCTCCGTAAGATTTTATATAGCAAAAAGGATATAATAGCAGACAAACTACCGAGGTCTTTGTCTGAAGAACATTTTCACATATCTTCTTTCTGTTTAAAGATTGTACAGGAGTCGGGAGCAATTACAGGCATCCCACTTACTATGTTTAGGAACGACTATCTTCTTCATTTCGATCTCAATCAGCTTAGAGATTAATACCATGATGTCATATAACTGAGCAGGACACCCTTTTTTAAGACTTATGATCACCTCCTGTAGTTGTTCGATTGAGAATGCCTTCGGAAAAATTGACCTTGCATAGCAAGTCTATGTTTGGTAGTTGACCAACTCATTAGTCAGTGCGATGGAATAGATCTCCGTGACTATAACAATGAGCTTCCTGAACTGGAGTTACTTGCCCCATTAACACATTCCAAGTATTTATCACATTAAGCATCTTCGAAATATAGCTACTGGAACAATTTAGGTCTCTCTTTGGATAGGGCGTTGGCTACTACACATTCATATTTTTCACTTCAATCAGTGCCACTAAATTGGAGCAGATCAAGTCTAGTGAGACTGCCATATAATGAACCATACTCTTGCTAGGTGGGGGCAATAATGAATTTTTTTAGTAATTTCAGGAGAGGCAATAGTAATATTTTAGGGGTATATAACTAAAAAAGAACAAATTAGTAAGGTATATTAGTAAAAAAAAAAAAAATTCTGGGGGAGGGGTGCAATTGCTTATATGTACACACACACACATATATTTGTATTATTGAGACGTCAAATATGATGGTAGAAGCAATTGTTAAATTATCCTTTGTTTGGTTTATGAAAAAGTGAAGGCAAAAAAGAACTTGTGACTAATGCATTTGTTTTAAATTTTTTTGCATGAGCTGGGAGTGTAGCATGTTGCTTCATGAATGTGGAACTTATTCTAGTTGCCATTCTTCATTTATAAAAATGCTAATTGTTTCCACTTGGTCTAGTTAGAATGGAAGCATGCTGGTATTTACATGATTTGTTGTTACCATTTCATTTCAAATATATTTGGCTGAGCTTTACCTTTTAGTTTCTTCTTAATAACATTATCTTATTGGAGTGGTTTTGTAACACACACACACACACACACACACACACACTCTATTTTAGAAGCCGTGGCACACCTCTATTACATAGACTGTCCTATCTCTTCGACAATACCCGTGTTTACACAGGATAACATGGATAATTGGATATAGGTACTGGGATATGTATCTTACGCATGAACTAAAATTCCGAGACCTTGATCCTCTGCATGCAATGATAAATGATGGAAAATATCAGTCAATAGCATTAAAAGGTTTCCTATTTTTGAGATCTATTGAGAACTCTTTCAGTCTTTTTTCACCACATTTCTTTGAGTTTTAATTCTAATTGGTTATTTGTTAAAGAATAATAATATCCTACATTATACTATTATATCACCTTCATTGTATTTAAATGTGTAAGAATCTCTATGTAACTGTATCCAAGTTTATTCACAATTCAAATCAAGTTTTCGAAATTTAAGATGTATGTGGAGGCGTCTGGCAGTTAGACAACCTCACAACTTGTATACATACTCTAGCCATGTAACATAGGAGCACACTATGTGGGGGCACAACATGAATTATGTTGCTGACAAATACTGTCAATTGTGTAAACGTTATGTGGTTCAAAAAACTGCTTTAAAATGAATGTGGTGAGTGACAAGTGTGGATCATGGTTGAATTCAAATATCAGATAAATATTGTAAAATAATTGAGAGTGGTCATATAAAAATTTGATTTGTTTGAAAAGGAATGAAAATTACGTCTACATGGAAAAGTATATAGGGATTTATTTTTATTATATATCATATGTTTACTTGTAAAAGAAAATGTGTGTATGTGTGTGTGTGTGTGTGTGAGAGAGAGAGAGAGAGAGAGAGAGAGAGAGAGAGATCACCGAACGAGCATACTTCTTTTATATATTTGTATACAGTGATGGACCCAGAAAATTTTGTGGGAGGGGTGGACGTTTAATTTGTGGGGGAAAACTTATATAGTGTTTCCATTTTTATAATTTCAATTGGGTTTTTTCATACATTTTCAAAAATGGAAAGTATAAAATGTAAAAAAAGAAAAAGTCAATGGGGCTGAATTTTTATATTTTAGTGGGGGAATTTTCATAAATTCTTAAAAATTTAAAGTATAAAATGCCAAAAAAAAAAAGAATTCAGTGGGGGCAAATTGTAATTTTAGTGGGGGCATCTTCATAAATTCTAAAAAAAATTAAGGTATAAAATGAAAATATAAAAAATCCAGTGGGGGCATGCCCCCACTGGTCCCACATTGGGTCCGTGCCTGTTTGTATACATTATATTAGCGGAGAAATCCTTGTTGTTGCTCCTTTATTAATTTTTTTATTATTTTTATTTTTTAAGGTCACATTTTTCTTAAATAATCCTATAATTTATTAAAATTTTCTTCACTCTTCTTTTTATCTTCATTTTTTTTCCTGTTAAAGATATAACGGGAAATTTTCATTCTTGCTGAAATAACTAAAATTCTGCTGGGTCTTTTTTTGTTAGAATTTTGAGAAATGTTTGGATTGCTAATTTGGTGAGATAGAGAGAAATTGAGATATGGTTTGTGTGTCTATGTTTGTGATAAATACAAATGGAAGTCAACTTAGGGGAGAGATGGTTAAAATAGAAGTGGATTCCTTAATTTGTCAATAACCACTCCTATTAGTTTCCTAACCAAAGGTAGCCACCCATGAAAACAAAACATTGTTATCATCAATTTATAGATTTTCTTGAAAGATATAACCAAAAGGAACCATTTTGGAGATGAAGAATATGGAAGACGAGAGAAATTTAGTTTATTTGATGCACAATTTTGGCTTTTATGCTAATCAATATCAAAGTTTATGATTTTCTTGATGATCTCTAGTAACGTTCTTCATGTTTTGGTTTTTCAGGGATTGTAGTTCATGATATTGAAAAGCTTATCTCTGTTTTTTTATTTTTATTTTTTATAATTATATTGTTACATGGGGTTTATTGCTTGGTGCAATGGTAAAGACCTAAAGACACCGGTTCGAGTCTCAGAACAGTCGCTCTGTGCAAAATACTGAAAAAGCTACTTCTGCCTCTAAGCTTCTCCTCCCAATTCTCTACCATTACCCGTCATAGGCAGGCATTCGCGGGATAATGCCACTTCTTTAAGATTATCAAACGTAAATACTAATCTATTTTACAATGTCGGTTTATTGGATTTATCCTGATCTGTATGTGCCAATTGTTAAACTCACTGTTTTCCAACTATTTGTCTACGTTTTACAAGATTTGTTCTATTAGAAATCACATTTGACTGCAGCATAACCGATATCCATACATGATGGTGGTGCGTGTGTCCCGACTTTTAGCATGCATTTATATATATTTATATCTTATGCTTTTATCTTTTTGTTGGTGCTTGGAGTATCTAGCATATGTCAGCTTAACGAGTATTCTCCTTAGTTAAAGGAACTTTTAACAAGAAATCCTCCTTTGGAATGAGTTAGTGTCATTGATAATAGCTCGAATCCCTGCAGTCAGAAGTTTATCATTGAATAACAGGGTGTTAATTGAGATGCAATATCATTTTGCAACCACTTTCAAGATTGCTTCGGTGTTATCTACAAAACCTTTGGCGGTTTACATTTTCTTTATTTTTGTTGTAATCTGTACCTGTTAGGATCTAATCTTTTTGTTGAGATAATTACCTATTTCTTGTCCAAAGTTGAAATCTTCTATACAAATATAAGAATCAAATTTCTTTATTTTTATTTTTTTTAATAGCTATATGCTGAAGTTTTAGTTTTTACAGTTCTTGCCAGCTAGAAAGGTTAAAGAAAAAGCTAAAAAGCTCAAAGGCACTCTCACTGAAGATATTCTATCCGGCACTACATCTAAAAATATACTGGCCTTGACATTTAGACAAGTGGTTCTCCAATACCTATGGAATTTTGAACTGGTACTGTTTAGACCTGGAACAGAAAGAGATATGGACGACCTTGAAACTCCAAGAGAGGTTAGCTATACTTCATTTTTCCTGTATGTTTAGATTCTCACACCTGCTTTACTCTGTTGTAATACAATATTTAAGATGTCTTTCCTGCAGGTGCCATGTGTGATACTGATGGGTTAAGTTCTCTTATTCCTTTCCCGTCAGCAGGTCCCTTCATCTTTCACCGTCAGCTCATTGAATGAACAGGCCATTTCTGTGCTTGCAGAAGTTGTTTGTGTTTTAGCTCTTGAAAGCGCTGAAAGCCATTTCCTTAATTCATCGGGCAAAACATCTAATGATCTCTTCCATTGGTTTCGCAAGCCTAAGAAGATTGTATCGAAAGACTCCTCAGTGGTCTTACATAAATTATTCGAAGATGAGATCATTGCAAATGCAAAGAGTCTGCTAAAAATATTTAAGTCAAAAAAGGGAGATTATATGCCTGTAGAAGCAAGATTGAAGTACTGTTGGTGGACTACATCAGCACATTCTAAATTGGAAAAGATGGGTGGGCCCGAGTTTAGCAATTGGACGAATGAATATGTACCTGCTTACAGGCTGCAAATTGACACCGACAAACTTAACAGTGTAAAGTTTGAAGGGTGGAAAAAAACTGCAGAGAGTAGGTGGGAAGTTCTTCTGACCCACTCCCAAATGGTACTCCATTCTTCCTTTTATCTTTGGACTTCTAATGGTAATTTGTCTATAATTGTTTTTAATTAAGAATTGGGATATGTATTTTTTTTATTTTATAATATGGCCAGGATGGCTACAGTGAATGGTTGAAGGTAAGGTTATTTTCCTAATACCCTTTTTGAAACAAATATCTAAACTATGTTGTTAGATGCCTTCATCTATAATGAATAAGTATTGGTCTACTTATGGCCTTACCCATGACTTTCCATATTGAGGCGGCTTCTGATATTGTTGGAGTTAAGGACTGTCGAGATTAAAAAGGCTTTATGGCATGCATGTTCATCACCTTGCAGGTTAACCTAATAATATTTAAAATTATAAACAAGGAAAAAGGAACTTTGGAGGCCTTAAGCACAGAGTGATTTGATATGTAGCATTTTCTATTCTGGTTGATGCCTTTTTCTCATGCACTTGAGTGCACAATACCTCTCTTTCTGCATTTACTACAGGTTATGATGAAACCTGAGTTACCTGATTGATGAATATGCTTTTACTAGCATCTTTCATGTTAATTTTATTAGGGTGAGATAGTGACTCAGGGAATTATGCCTTCTGTTGTCAACTCTCTAGTTCAATACCTTTTCAGGTTGGTTTGGCTAATATTCTTGACATGTACTTTGAGGATCCATTTACGCTCCCGAATAAACAGCTATCAGGTGGTGTGGTTGCAAAATCGATTGATTTGTCCATTAATAAGGTATCAATTGCATGGTGTATTTGATTATTGACGTTTGGCTACTTGATTGGGTTGTGATAAGTCCATGTTTAGTTGAGTGTGTCTGGCCTCATATTGAAGGTTTCCAAATATTACAGAGAAGCAGTTCGTTGCTGAAAATGCTGTCAATTGCATTTGCGAGTGGGATTTTTCTTCTTATCATCAGTGTTCTAGGACGTTTACATTTGCCTTTTCTGCACAATGGAAGAAAGTACCTTGGAGACAGCCGTTTACTTCAATCATCTGAAGTTGACCATGTAAAGCATCAGCCTTTGGAGTCCAGTAAGGTATGAACACCTTCATATGCACAAGCAAACTTTCTTTTTCTTTTTCTCTCTCTTTTTTTTTTTGGTCAGTTAACCATGCTTGTATAACCTTGTTTGTCTATCAACTTTTATCCATTACGAATGGTTTCTTCAGATACATTTCATCATAACTTTATATTTTAACATCTTATTGTTGACTTTATATTGCAGAGTGGTTAGCCCTTATACGGCGACGAAGGGCAGAGACTCCTAAGAAGCGAGAAGAAAACAATGCTGGTATTGTTCTGTGATCGCTGAACAGATTGATTTTGCTTTATTATCCTTGTCTTTATGATTTGGAAATTAATATTATATTATTCCAGCCAAAGAACCGAAGAAGGCAGAAGCTCACAAATAACAACAATGGGTGCCAAAATGTGTTGTTTTATAGTTATGGGTGGTTACACCAATGCCTGGTAATGTTGTTCTTGGCTCACTATTTGACCATAGGAATAGCACTAGGTATTTTAATTTGTATACAAATGCATTTTTGTATTGAAAAAAATAGCTATTTTTTTTTTTTTTTTGGATGTATGAGTACAATAGCAAGTGGCAGTTATTAGAGATGGTTTTTCTATTTCAAAATTGAATTCCAGCTTCCTGAATGAATTATGAGTTTATATATATATATATATATATAATACAAAGTGCTACATATTTTATCTCAAAGAAATTAAGTTGATTTACAGTATGATAAACAGATACCACATAGGCAGGACTAATTCTTAGTCAGAACTCAAATCGTTGCTACAATGAAAATGAAAATCAGCATATTTATCACATGATTTTTTTTTAGTTAAGGATATTTATCAACATGATGATACAATTAATTTACAATTTTTTTTTAAAAAAAATTTAATCTTTAAGTTGCATGCCTTTTACAAATGGATTATAACAAAATATATCAGCATCATAGGGTAGGATGTGTGCGTGTAATCTCAGTTACATAAATTACTAAATTTTAATAAATATAAAAATAACACACCATTAATATGATGCAGCTTAAATTACTAAATTTTAATAAATATAAAAATAACACACCATTAATATGATGCGGCTAGAACCATAGTTTAATTCAAGTATTTGCGTTTTATTTGACTTTTGTTTATTATATTCTGATAACTAAATATGTTAGTGAAATCCGTTAACAAATACAAAAGATGTGGATTATGAGTTTGTTCTAATTTGCAACTGTCATAATTTCTAACCATTCAATTCCACTCTAAAATCAATTAAACCATAATAATTAAAATCAATCAAAAATAAAATAATGATATAACCTTTTAAATATGACATGTTCATATGATTAATTTTCTCCAATATTTCAAAATTTGAATTTCTGAACAGAATCTCCTAATGATATCCCATACTATTTTTTTACAAATAGTTTTATAATCAAAACCCAGGCAAACAAAACGCAAATCACAACCTTAGCATCATGATGCCAAACTTCATGTAAAAATAATCCAATTTAGTCACACAATCACTGCCCATTTCGTAATCTCAATTTGCATTCAGTGTCTGACAGCAGTGCTTCATGCCTAAAACAAATACTCCACCAAAAACTGTGACATTGATTAGCCAAAAATGTCGTGTATCCTTATTTTCTTCAATTCAAGTCCACTATGGTTTTCAAAAACGAATTCACACAACTATCTAATAATTTTACACACTATAATTATTTAAAACTTCCACTTTTGTGGACTAATTTTATTTGTTAAAAATACTCGCAAAACACTAAAGAAAAAAAAAAAAAATGACTTGAAACTCGTGGAGATTAGACATGTGTTGGATCACTATATTTTTTTCATTAAAACTCAACTTGTATTTATTCATCAAACAAATGAATTGTGATTGAACTTTACAAATGAATTTATTACAATTAGATGAGTTTAACAACTTGTTGAACATTAAAACCAAAACATTTTTGTATAAACACTTAAAATCAATCGAAAGACAATATCTAAGATAAGAAAAATACCTCAAATATAAAGCATTAAAAAAAAAAAAAAAAAGAACCTCAAAATTTTAAAGTATTCACATATTTAAATTTCTCCAATATCTCACATTTCAAATTTCTGCAAAATAACTATCGATACTAAAGATTTGAGCAGACATTTTAACAGAAGGTCATCGCACATGCTAACAAAAAAATCACTTGCTGAGGCCCAAACTGAAAAGACTGGCCCAGGAACTGAGAGAACTAATTAACCCTACCTAAGTAGTATCATCCACATTCAGGAAGCTTGCTACGGTTGTAGGGGCTGTGATGTAGGTGTAGTAGGTGGTGGTTGCGGTGGAGGTAATGGCTGTGGTGGTTCGCTATGTGGTGTGGCTTGTGGGGGTGGTGAAGGTGAAGAAAGGGTTTGATTAGTTTGGTTCGAAAAGGAGTTAGGAAGGTTCCATTCTCTGGCAATTGTCTCAGCAAAGGGGGCATTCCAATTTTTGGATAGAAATCACCATATTCAAAGTCTTCAATGGAGTTGAGTGTTCAAAATTTTCAAAGAACGTTTGATAAATTCCAATTCAAATTCAAATATGGAGAGTCAAATATCTCATGTTTATAAGAATTTAGTAATTATTGGATAGTTTTCAAATTAACAGTCCACCCTTGGCTTATAAATAAAGATTACACACCCAACATATCTTGAAATACAGACACTAGAGAGATTGTTGAAGCTCTCCCAAATATTTGACTCACATGAAACATGCCACACTTGTATTGCTTTCTTTGAAATCCTTTCACACTTAAATTTTTGGAAAAAAAAAAAAAAAAAAGCCCCTTCATTGATTCTCGATCAAAAATTCAGTTAAGTCCTTTTCAATTTCAAATATTTGAAGAAATATTTAACACAACCGGTTGAAGATCAAACTTTTGAAATCACACCCTCTAAAAAATTATTTGTATCAAATTAAGATGAGTTGAACTTTATACGGGACAAGTGAATAATCCATTTGAGCTAACCCATAAACTTATACATGAATTGCCTACAAATAATTATATCATTTTCTGAAAAATTAAAAAAATTAAATGCTCATTTGCAATTTCGTTCCTAGAATATTTGGACTAGAACTTTTTGCGTACAATGGATTTTAAGAAAAATGGTGGTGCAATTCTACAGGGGTGAAGTTGAAACAATTGATTTGGCAGATTTTAATGGTTTTGTGTCGCTGTCATCTGGGAGCTTTGCTTGACATGTCAAGCTAATAGCAGTTTTCTCCTCTGGTTTTATGAGTTCTATATTTTCTATAAGATCACTAATTATTTTTTTCCTTTTGGTCATAATGAGTTGGTGGTAAGGAAAATATTGTTAAAATATGCTAATCGAATCAACTGATTGTAACACATTCATACAAGTATTCTTATCATTAATTGCTCATTTTCGTTCAGAAAAAAATTAGGATGAAACCTGTCTCTCACTTGAGATATGTTCTTTTTATGGACCATTAGAGTGCAATAATCTCAAAATTTGATGGTTTAAAAAAAAAAAATAAATAATAAATAAATAAATAAGAAAAAAAAATGAACTTCTTATCTTAAAGTAGATGTGGATAAAGATCAAAATTTGGTAAATGGTAAAATAATTATAATAATTTTGGAAAAATCTTAATATATTTCAACCAATACTACGAGTTTATGATTCCATCAAAGTATATAAAGATAGGCGCGAATCAGCTAAAGTGCAATTCCCATGCAGTTTCCTGCAGTGAGCAGTTAAGTGGTCTTGGTTTGACCACGTTTTACTCCACTTAATAGACATTAACACTGTGTTTGACAATTGTACCACTATTTATAAGTAATACTTCACCACTATTTTTAAGTAACGTCACAGAAATCTAAAAGTAATATCACATAATCTAAACAGTAACATCACCACCATTTATAACAATTGCACCACTATTTATAAGTAACATTTCACCACCATTTTTAAGTAACATCATAGAAGTCTAAAAGTAATTTTATATAGTCTAAAAAGTAACATCACCACCATTTATAAGTATCTTTCACACTCAAAACATGTTGATGTTACTTTTTAAATTATGTGATAGTACTTTTAGACTTCTGTGATGTTACTTATAAATGGTGGTGATGCTACTTTTTAGACTATTTTTACATTTCACCACAATTTATAAGTAACATCACAGAGTCTAAAAAGTAACATCACCATTTGTAAAAGGAAATATCACCACTTTTAATTTCAAATAATAACATAAATGATATGTTGAATTGAGTTATGTTTATATGTGATATTACTTTTTAGACTATTTGATGCTACTTATAAATGGTGGTGAAATGTTACTTATAAATAGTGGTTTTATTGGCCAAACACGGTTTTAGTGTCCGTTAGCTGAAGAATGATGTGGCCAAATATGGACCACTTAAAAGTTACAGCAGAAAACTGCATGGGAGCTTCACTGCAGATGATTCACGTATATAAAGATATCTAATACTTATATTCATTCCATCAAAGTATATAAAGATATCTAATACTTATATTCATTAACGTTGTATGTATTGTTAGAGAAACACACTTCTCGATTTTCTATCAAACTATCTAACCTTCTCTTTTATACACTAACGAAAAAAATACAACAATCAATTATTGAGAGCGGAAAAAATCTATTACCTCTTTTCCTTCTCACTGGTGATAGTAAAAATTATGTTGTGAGATTTGAAAATTTCATATATTTAATTTTCTCCCACATCTCAATTTTCTAATTCCTTAATACATTCCCAATAAAAAATCTGTGATTCATGCAAATTATGCGGAGTCATATCATACCAAACTTCATGCAAAAATACCCAATTTAGTCACAGCTCACAACCTATTTCACAATTTGTATGCAAACAAACTATATATAATGTCCGACAACCATGCTCCATGCATAAAATAAATTTTTCTGCAAAACATTAACATTTTTTTCCCCTTACAAATAGAAGAAGAACTAATGTAGTGCTCATTTGAAGGCTCTTAGAATTATAATAAAATTTTCTACAATACATTAACATTTTTTTTTTCCTTACAAATAGAAGAAGAACTAATGTAAGTGCTCATTTGAAGGCTCTTAGAATTAAAATAATTTTTTCTACAAAACATTAACATTTTTTTTCCCTTACAAATAGAAGAAGAACTAACGTAGTGCTCATGTGAAGCCTCTTAGAATTGCCCAGTAGGGGTGCACACGGTTCCGGTTCTCATGAAACCAGTCGGAACCGGAACTGTTCACGACGGTTTCTTGAAACCAGAACCGAAACCGGAACCATATAGTATGGAACCGAACCGGAACGGTTCCATGAGAACCGTTAACATGATTCACCGAGTACCATGACAGGAATTGCAACATTAACTGAATGCCATAAATTAATGAAGCAATTTCGATGGGGCACATACACATCCCGGCTAAGGAAACAACAACAATCTTAGCGTCTGATTCAAAGCACAGTACCTGAAATTTGATCTCGTTAACCCAATAAACTGCCCTTCGAACAAATGAGAGAATTTTGATCGAATAGTCAAAACATAATTAGTGAACCAAACAGTACTTGTATTAAGACAACACAGGTTCATTGCTTAGACAAAACAATTGCAATGTTCAAACCATCATCACTATAAATAGTACAGTAATAGCAAAATACTTAATATATTATAAAAAATATAAATATATATAAATACAGAATACAAAAAATTTGAGATGGTGCATGGGTGTAGATCGGAGAAGCCGTGTGAGTCTGTGACCGTGTCGCTATCTGAGAAGATTGGAGGATTCACTTGACTCAGAAATCTGCGATGGGAGTGAGGATGAAATTATGAATGACTGATGAGGAATCTGAGATGAGAGTGACATATCGATCAAAGACTTACCGAGTAATCTGAGATTGGAGACGATTAATGATGAAATATGAGATGGCAAGCACGATGAAGACTGAATCGACGAGGAAGCTTCAGATGAGACTTGAGAGGAGGCAAGGGCGATGAGAGCCTTGAGAGGTTAGACTTCAGAAGAGGCTGGAGGCGAGGGTTAGCTAGGTTCGTCACTTCGTCAAACCCTAAGATGAGAGATTGAGAATTAGAGAGGAGGCGACTGGCGAGGACTGAGAGAGAGTGTGAGAGATTTAGGGGAAAAAAAAGTTAAAAAACTAATATAATATGTTTTTTTCACGTGTCTGTCTAAGGTCCACTCATCCAGCACTTATCTTTACTTCTTTTTAGTATAAAATTAAATATAAAATACATATATATATATAAAATATATATATATATACATATACGGTTCCGGTTCCTACCAGTTCCCACGGGCTGGAACCGGAACCGTAAGTCCACGGTTCCTAAATTCGGAACCGGAACCGAAACCGGAACCGTGAGAACTGGTTTCACGGTTCTCACGGTTCCGGTTCTACGGTTCCCCTTTTTTTGTGCACCCCTATTGCCCAGGTAGAATGGCTTAGGAAAGTAAACATAGAGAGCTCCATAAAGTTGTACCGTTTATTCAGCTATTTATGAATCAGTTTCTTTAAGAAAAAAAATAAAAAATAAAAAAGGTTCCAACTGGGCCAAATTGGCCATTGCAGATCACCCAATTGGATTTTAGAGCCCATTTGCTGATAATGTGCCCTACGGAATTGCAGCTCCTAAGGGCCCATGAGAGGGTATGGTTTCCAAGAATGATGGTAATATCCTCCACCATAATCTCTTAGGCTTCGTTTGGATAAACTGGAGAGAAAAGAAAGGAAAGGATTATGAGAGAAAAGAAAAGAAAGGAAATGATAGCTATAATTTATATTCATGTTTGGATAGATAGGAGAGAAAAGAAAGGAATTGATAATATTGTTATTTGGATAACACAAAGGAGAGAAAAGAAAGGAATTGACAATAATAAAATTACTATTTTACCCTTTTTGGTAAGGTTAGAAGGCAAAATCATTTCAGCCTCCTCTATCTCCCTATTCTCGATCTCACAGATCTCATCTCCTCTCTAGGTCAAAACCCATATCGGCTCTTTCTCTTTGTAATACCCCTAATTTTAAAAGGATAGTCCTGGTATTTATTTTATTGTTTCTAATGCATTTTTACTTGTTGATGTGCATATGTGTTAATTTTATTGCTTTAATTGTGGTTTATTATTTACTTGTTTTCTTTGTTGGGGTTTTTGTTGTGAGTTTAATTGAATTTACTTATTTAAATTGTTCTATTTTAGTTAGTGTAATTATAGTAATTATTTGGTTGTTTTAATTAACTTAATTAGAGGGTTGTTTTAATTGATTTAAGTTTAACTGATGAATTGTTTAAATGTATTTATTTTATTAAACATAATTGTTTTCTAAACTTAACGTGACTGTAGGGTTGGTTGCATGTATGGTATATACATAAGTAGCCGACATTGATATTATAAACTAGTTGGGTTTTACGGGCCGAGTTTCAGTTTAGGGTTTAGGTGGACTTAGATTTAAGGTGGCCTATAAACACATGTAGGGTTTCAGTTTAGGGTTTGAGAACCCAATTCACGACATACAGAAAACAGAGAGACGTGTAGAGGAATCTAGGAGAGAACAAAGAGGGGAAAACAAAAAGGGGTTACCGGAAAAGTTTAGAAGGAAGACGTTGAGATTTTTGGAACCGAATCTCACAGGCAAGTTCTAATACTAACTCTACCTCTTTGGCCTGTGTTCTTTGCATCCCTAATTAAATTCCAGGATGAAATAAATTTAATTTAATTTGTTTTAACTTGGTTTGCACGGTTATTTGGTTTTTAAAACAGTATGTGTTTTCTGCATCTGTAACTTATTTGTTTTTAAACGGTTTTGCATAACTCTTATTCTAATGATAATTGATTAATGTCTAATGAGTTTAAATAGTTCTGGAAGATGTTTCTGTGCATCGTTAATACAATCCCAGGTGAAAGTAAACCGTTAAATTAATTTTTGGTTGCATAGAAATTGTTCAACATCGTGTGTGTTGCCGATTGGGTTTTTGGCTTGCTTTAAATCTGTTTGGAAAAATTCTTGTTCCGATTAGTTTTGATTAATGAACAATGAATTTAATTAACTTTGGAACACTCTAGGACTGAGTTTTAATCAATAATAAACTTGGGTTGAGGAATACAGTTGCCGGACATCGCCAGAATTGGAAACGAAGACGCACAGGGGAAGAGCCTGCTTTAATTAGAGTAGAGCAGGCTCAACAAAAGGGTAGAGGAGGCTCTACCTTAGGTAGAGCCGGCTCTATGGGAGTCTAGAGGCGGCTCCATCATGGGGGAGCCGGCTCTACCTTGTTGTGGAGGCGGCTCCACTTTTTGCGGAGCTGGCTCCTTTGATTTTTGCTTCCAGTTTTAAGTTTCTGCGAGACCTGGGCTACGGGGATTGAATTCTTGACATTCTAGGATGAAAATAGAGTGTTTCGAAAGGTATTCAGAAGGGTCTAAACTTGTGTTAAATTTTCAGAAGGCCTGGTAATTTATAATCTTCCATAAGAAGCTAAAAGAAGGAACAACCAGAAACTCTTAGGAAAGAGATCAATATTACTGTGATGCGGATAATTCAAGTTGCTTGTTTTAAAATTAGCATTTGAACTAGGAATTTTAAGTTTAAATCATATGACAGTGGTATAGGATTAAGCATCACAATTTATATAATGTCGGTTATGCTTAACAGGAAATTAGTTGATGTTTACAAGTCATTATGTATAATCAACTAACCGGATGATATGTAGTAGTTTAAACGAGCATGTTAATTTTGATATTGATATTAGTATGCTGATAGGGGATTAAAGAATGGATTACACTTATTATCTGCGTTCTTAAACTGTTAGAGAATCATGTGTTGTTCATATATGACAAGCTTGCAATTTATATATTCTTGTTGTACTTGTTATAGATGTGTGGATATTGATATTTATAATATCATCTGTATTATTAACAGTTGGATGGATGGTGTTATACTTGTTATGGATTGGTTGATATTGATTTTATCTCATTATTTGTATTATCAACATTGGATGGATGGTTTGTATGCACCGGTATGGGATGGTGACATACTAGGGGGATTAGCTCAAAAACGCTAAGTCCTACCTACTCTGGATTAAGGGATGGATTAACTACAAAAGTTAAGTCCTACCTGTATTTTGTGTCAGATCACTAAATAGTTGAGTAACACTTTTAGTTTGGAACGGATTTTAAATATATTTTTATGGTGCCATGATATGAGCCTGAGTCTCAGAGTCGTTGGCTAGGGAGCATACATGCATTGGGATGCATAGCTGGCTATGATAGTTGGATGTGTACCCTGCTAGGTCTAGGTAGTCATGCCCACCTCAGGTACGTTTTGCATGGTGCCTACTAGTCAGGTTGAGATGGGCCTGTAGTCCAGTGAGAGTCTTATAGTGTGATTATATATATATGTATCTACGGACTATTTAGTTATTGTTTGATTGGTTAGGATGTACATACGTATCGGGTCTCTGCTTGGGTAGTAATAGTATAGAACTTGCTAGTGGGCCTGACCCACTTATTATTTTTCAGGTATTGGATGTTTGAGGTCTTAGAGCTTGTTCGAGCTGAGCAGAGACGATTTTTCATTCTACCGACGATGTAGGACTTCTTTCCAGATATTCGATTTGGGCTTTTATCTTCAGTTATTTATTTTCGTTCGGTTTTGATTTTTATTAGGGGTCCACTGGAGATGGATTCCCGAGTTGTAAACTTATGAAGTTTGGATTGTCAGAGTTTAAATATGTATATTTGAGGATTTTTAATTTAGTATTCCTTCAGCTTATTATTATTTCTTAAATTCATTTTGTATTCTGTATTCGATTAAATATTAATTATTTGATATCCTTCGGATTTGTGTTCGGACTTGATCACCCGTGGCTTTAGAATCGAGGGGTATCACACTCTCTCTCCAACTGCCCACTGCAAAATCTACCAAAATTAGAAAATCAAAACCTACGGCTTTCTCTCTACAAATCTGCAAACTACAAAACCTACAAAAAGAGAAGGTCAAAACCCATATCGGCTCTCTCTCTCTCTCTCCAACTGCCAACTACAAAATCTACCAAAATTAGAAGATCAATTAAAACCCATATCGGCTCTCTCTCTCTCTCCAACTGCAAACTATAAAATATACCAAAATCAGGAGACGATCTCTGCAACTTCTGGCGAATTTTCAGACAATCTCTGCAACTTCTGGCAACTTTTCTGACAATATCTGCAACTTCTGGCTAATTTTTAGTCGATCTCTGCAACTTCCAGCGACTTTTAAGACGATCTCTGTAACTTCCGGCGAATTTTCAGACGATTTCTGCAACTTCCGACGACTTTTCAGACGATTTCTGCAACTTCCGGTGACTTTTCCGACGATCTCTGCAACTTCTGGCGACTTTTCCGTTTGGGTTTCTTTTGTCATTAGCTCCCTTTCTCTCCAAATCTTGTCAATTTTGGAGAGATTTGGTTTTACTGTATTGGAGGGATTTGGAGGGATAGCCTATCCCTCCAAATCCTTCCCAATCATTTCTTTTCTTTTCTATTCCCTCCATCCAAACACACCTATCCCTATCCTTCCCTTTCTTTTCTTTCCAAATCCCTCTAAATCCCTCAATCCAAACGAGCCTTTCGCTATTATGTTTGGTATAGTGAAAAAGAAAAGAAAATAAAAGAAAAGAAAGATAATATTAGTTGGAAGAGAAAAAAAAAAAGAAAAGAAAATAAAATTGTTAATCAGTAATTGTGTTTGGTTAATTAAGAAAGAAAAAATAAAAAATAATAATAATCATAATTTGATATATATATATATATATATATATATATATATATAATCATTTTAATAAATTTATTATTATAATCGTTTTTATAAATTTTATCTTTTATAAAAATAAGGGCAAAATTTTTTATTAAAAATTATTGTCTTTCTTTTTCTTTCATTCCATTTTCTCCCACTTTTAAAAAATAGGGTAAAGTGCAATGACACCCCTTGAGGTTTGCCATAAAGACACTCAGATACAAGTTAGCCTGTTTTTGGACAATGACAACCCCTCAAGTTTACTTCCTTTGACGAAGACACCCCTTATTGCTCTAACATGTGATAAAATGACCTAAATGCCCTTTGACTTGTCAAATGACACTTTTACATTATAAAATTACCAATTTACCCATACTAAATTGTCCAAAATAACCGCTTTATCTCAACCACATACCCACAAAGCTGCCGCCCCCACCACCACCACCACTTCTTTTATCTTTTCATTCTCTCTTTTATATATATACATATATTACACACATATACGTACACATATAATTACAATTTAATCTACTCCTTCACTGCCCCAAACCTTCCCCAAATTAATCACAAAAATTCTCCACAAACCAGTTTCAATGCTTAACAATCAGGGTATCAGGGACTTTAATGGGCTTCATTTAAAGGAAGTTCAGTTTAGGCTTAGGTCATTTGGTGAAATAAGGTAGAAACCCCATATTGGTTATTCTCTCCAACCCAAATCGTAGCCGCGGTTTGAACTTGGTTGGTATATTCGGACTCGCCATGAAAGCTCATAGTACTTCATAAACGGAACGGAGTGGGTTGGGATGATGAATGGAGAGGTAGGGGTGGGATAAGGAAATAAAAGAGGAAGGCATGCCTCTGTCCATGTTTCCCCTAACTGTAGTTCACCGCAACGACATGGTCAAGCTCTGAGGTGGAGTGACTGGCCGGGTCAACTATGTTGAAGCGAAAGGTTCAGGTTTGCAAAGGCGAAGGCAAAAGGGGCCTGGATAAGATTCGCGGAGGCAGAAGGGGCTTTAATTAGGTCTGAGGAGGCAGACGGGCCTGGATCAGGTCGGCGGTGGCGCCGCCACCATTGTCGAAAGCCTGCCGCCGTAATCACTACTGCTTCGAGCCACCGTCTGTAGCAGAATGTGGTTAGTTCCACTTTCACTTCAGTCCGGTGAAGCATACTGACCCGATTCAACAAACAAGTCGAATGAATCGGTGATGTGGGTGGTGTTGGGTCCGATAAAAGGGCTTTACAATCATTGTTGGCAATGGAGGTGTGGTAGGTTTGATTAGGGCTCTGCAATCGGTATCGCATGGTGGTGGTGTTGGGTTTCAATTACAATCAGTGATGATGGTGATGGCGATCGATTAGGAATCTGCAAGCGTGCGTATGTGTGTTAGGTTTAATACGCTGATGTGGGGTTTTGATTTGGGGGTCAGCGGTGGTGTCTCCTGCTGTGGTGGTGATGGTGATAGCAAGGGTGTGTTGGTGGTTGTGGGATGAGTATGGTGGTAGCGGTGGCTGTCACCGGTTGTGGGATGAGAATGGTGATGGCGGTGACTCTCATTGGTTGTGGTATGAGTATGGCGATGGTGGCTGTCACCGATTATGGTGATGGTGGCGCAGATATGGGTGGTGAGAAGAGAGCTGAGGGAGGGAGGTATTGCTTAGTAATGCATCAAGGGCAATTATGTCATTTAAGTTTTCAAATTTTTTATCAATTAAATGTGGAAGGGCAATTTCGTCTTTTACTAAATTTTTAGGGGTTGTTTGGCTGAAATTTTTGATAGGGAGTGTTATTGTCCAAAAATAGACTAACTTGTATCTGAGTGTCCTTATGACAAATCTCAGGCGGTGTCATTCTACCTTACCCTAAAAAAAAAAAAATAACAAAACCATTTTAATGATGCATGACCATATTTCATTTCTTTTCATTACCACCTCCACCCATACGGACAAACAGTGGATTTGAGAGAGGTTGAAGAGGTTAAGGCAATCACCTTCAATGTCATCATGATCATAACCTACTCCAATTGATAAGGAGAGAAAGACCCTATCTTAGGGCATGAGATTAGATTCGGCGGCAACTTCAGGGATAGAAATATTGCGCAAGAAGAAAATAGGGTGCTTTGATAGCCTGATCTCGATAGTCACGAAGAATGAAGCCCCCTGCACACCTGGTAGAAATGGAGAAAGAAGGGTCCACGTCCAATTGGAAGGATCCAGCGAAATAGAGAAGGAGAAGGATGGAGATGGGATTGGAAAGAGAGATCCAAGTTGGAGATTTCAGATAATTCTTTGAAATTGAACAGTGCACGGTCGTGTATGTCCTTAATCCCAAGACATGGAATTGAAACTCAAGTCATTACGGAACTTCCAAATTTGCTAGCATAAGAATGAGGCAAGGCTCAAAAGATGTTTGCCATTGGGGAGTGGTTTCCACAGCTCAAGTAATTGCTGCCATTGTTTTGCCCATGGAAGAAATACTGAGTCAAAGCGATGCCGAAATCCTTGCTGCTCCGGCCACCAGAAATGCATAAGCTTACAAGAGAAGTACAAGTGCTAGCCTGCTTTGGAGAGAAGGTCACATTTGATGAGTTTGACGCCAGAGATAATTCTATCAATCAGCTACTTAAATGTGTCCATTTTGGACTTACCACAAAAGCTGGTAGACCCAGGTATTTGTTGAACCAGCCATTCATAATCGAATTTTGTACTTTCACACTTTACCGTTACCTCAAAAATACTACTCCCTATTGGGCTCCACTCTTGAGGAGCAATTTTATTTTTTTTATTTGTTAAAAATGCTCACAGAACACTTGCCCAAAAAAATGAAAATAAATTTACAAATGAGTGGATAAAATTATATGGGTTTAACAACTTATGCAACTCACAGTTTTATTCCAAACTATCTATAGTCAGGTTGATCATGATTCGACATCCAATCTTTATATCCTTGCTGAAGATGCTAGAGACACTGAATAAATAAGCCTCAAACAGGAAAAGGATAAACAAATGCTATAAATAAAAACTTTAATATTAGTAAGTCCACTTGTAACATGTTGGTTAATTTATTTTTAGTTTTTATTTTTAAAAATTTTCCCTTAACATGTTCAATATCCACGTTAAGTACATTATAATGGGGTTCGTACAAGATAGACTGCTAAGCAAAGTCGCTTTGAAATATCATGTACTTGGTTGGACTTAAAGTTGCTTTGAAATATTCCTTGATTGCTGGAGTGAGCTTGCTTTAGAAATGTATATATCTCATGAGTATAATGCATGTGATTGCTTGCTTTACAAATAGATATGCTGTATAGAAATTCTTGGAACCAAGGAATTCCTTGCTTCATATATCTATGTAGAAATTTCTTTGAATCGTGGACTTCCTTGCTTCATAAAGTAAATATACTGTGATTGCTTGGAGAATACTTCCTCTTTAACCTAAGGATATCTTGTATTGTAAATGTGATCTTGGATGGTTAGATGTATTGAGCTTCTCATATTCTAGTTCCCACCTATTATCTTAGAGACGGAGAGAGAGAGAGAGAGAGAGAGAGAGAGAGACTAAGCTACTCGTTTTGCTTTCGAAATGGATTCTGAGAAAGGCACCAGCACTGCTTTCAACTCTTCATCCACGACCATTCCAGGTGGTGAATATGATGTCTTTTTGAGTTTCAGAGGCCCAGACACTCGTGAAACCTTCACTGATTATCTGTACACAAGTCTCAAAGATGCAGGAGTTCGTACCTTTCAAGACAATAATGACCTTCGTATAGGTGAAGAGATCGGCCCAGAGCTCCTTGAGGCGATCACTCAATCGAAGATCTCAATCCCAATTTTCTCCAAAGACTACGCGTCCAGTAAATGGTGCCTCCGTGAGCTCTCCCAGATGGTGGAGTGTAAGAGAACTACAAGACAAATGATTCTACCCATCTTCTATGATGTTGAACCGTTTCAGGTTCGGCATCAGTCTGGGAGTTACGAGGAGGCCTTCCGCAACCATGAGAGTTGTTTCCAAGAAAGTACTGTTAAGGAATGGAAGGAGGCATTGAGAGAGGTTGGAGCACTCAAAGGGTTTCGAGAAAAAAGCTGACGGGTATGTTAATCCATTTATGCTACTTAAGTGCTTATTTTATATATATGGGATTAATATTGCAAATCAAAATAGGTTGAGAGCAATGACGTAGCGGAAGTTATGAGTGTTAAATAATGAATAGAATAACAACTTTGAATTCACAAACCAATGGCTCTAATCCAGATGATATAAGCTCTTCTTTCCGAAGAGGTTAAGTGATCTAGCCAATCTGATATATCATTAATCAATGAATAAATTGTGTTACCCAAACAACGGAAGGAAACCAAAAAAGTAAGATACAAGCAGTATAAGGAAAATGCTCAAAATTAAACTTTATTCAAAAATTCTAAAGAAATAAGGTAAGAAGTCTAATTACTAAAAATTACTAATTATAAAAAACTAAAGGAATTCGAATCCATTTAGATGTCTAACAAAAATCCCGAAATAGTTCAAAATGTGATACCCCCTAATTTTCAAGTCATCATCTATTTCATACACCTTTTTTAGACAATTAAACCCAACAACTTCTACTCGCAAAGTGTGATACCCCCTAATTTTCAAGTGCGGGTTGTCCAGGCCCACACCCGAAGACCTGGAGATATCATAAACAATATGGTAATAAACGAATACAGAATACAAAATGATAAATAAAGAATAAATAAAATGCTGAAAGGAAATATAATAAAAATTCTAATAATAATAGTAGTAGTAATAATAATAATAGTAAGAATCTGCATAAACCCCACACACATATATATATATATATATATATATATATATATATATATATATATATATATATATATATAAAACTAATACCTCCATGTATTATTATTATTAAATATTAATAATAATAATACACACACATATATATATAAATCAATATATATATTTAAAATACACCGATGGGCTGTAATCCTTACCCATCTAGGCTTCCTATCTAAGTAGTGAGACCCATTTAGTTGGTCCATTAGTATTACCCAAACCCATTTCTTTAAATAAGAAAAATAAAATAAAATAAATAATTAAACATTTAAGCTAAGAAATAATAACAAACAAATATACAATTAAATCACATAAATTATACCAAATAAATACACACAAATAAATCATACAATTTACATCAAACAATTAAATCATTTAAGCACATAAACACATAATCAATTAAAATATAAATAAAAATAATTAAATAAATCCTTTTAAAATCCTCTGGAAATTATGAGTATTACATTCTTCCCCCTAACAAAGGAATTATTCATAAAACTCTGAATTATTTTCTTTTAAATTTATAGGATTATTCCCAAAAAAAAAGAAAAAAGAAAGAGGGGTTAGAGAGGTCAAATGACAAAACCATGAAGTCAAAGTCAATGTTTCCAAAAAGATGGAATTTGTTTTGATTACCAAATTGCCCCTTATCATCTTTTTTAATCTCTCGCTGACTTCCAATCACAGTGCAAATCATCGCTAAATGCCAAAATCGATGGAGCCCCATAGTCGCCGATATATTCCTCCACATCCGGAACTGGTCACGACGGATGTCATTCGCCGGTAATCCGTAACTGGTAATCCAGCGGCAGGGGAGCGAATGGAGATGGCGTCGCGTCAGGTGTTGCTGACAGATCTGAAGTTGGTGATGTGGGTGATTGATGGAGCGAACGGAGATGGCGTCGCCATGGCCGGAATCTTACGGAGGTTGGACTAAAAGAAGTACTAGAGGATGACGTTGTAGCGAGTTCCGATGAGGCTGTCGGGACTGGTGATCATGTGCCCCTTCCTTAACAACGCCGGCCTTCACATTATCGGCTACGCCGCCGTGGCACTCACCGTCATCTCTCTTCTCCCCTTAATCCCCATGTCCTTGATCGAAGCACAGTTGAGCAATAATGCTTGTCAAATTCTGGGTATAGTGGATTTAGGTCTTTTGCCCAAGTTTTGCGAGGTGAGATCAAAATGGTTCAACCTACCATGGGTTGATTTTGGTGGCCACTGCGATCAGACTTTCTATTTCATTTATGAATTTCACGGACTTTATATCGTCGACGAAATTCTTGTACAGTTTGGGAATATTGTTGGAGTTTGAAAGTTTATGAAGGTTAAACGATGAGAGGTACTCGAGGACAACGTCGACGAGATTAGAGGGGGGATGGTTAGTCAGATCGGAGCAGCGGAGAAAATGTGTGAAATCAAACAACAGTGGAGAAAGAGGAGCAGTGGCGTTTCAAAGGGGCAGTTTGGGGATCAAATTATAATGCACAATAGATTTCCATGATTTTGGCATTTAACCTCCTTAAAACCATTTTGTTGGAAAAAGCAGATTTGACTCCCATGTTTTTTGGCATATCACGTTCGAAATAATCCCTAATTTTTTTTTCCGTTCTCAAGGGACTCAGCCTTAGTGTATGGACTCCACTGAATTTCAATGCATCAAATAATACACCTGGTTCCTATTATTAAGAACAAGATAACCGTACTACACATAAGTTGTATTTAACAACAACTCAATCTATCCAATATTTATACAAGGGTACTACTATCCACATTTCTACAAGTTTCCATAACATATATGCACAAATTTAAACCCCTATGCACCCAGCATTGGTAACGCTAATCTATATACTACTGCCTCAATTGATAAACAAAATTTGCAAAAAGTCAATATAATAAGTAGAAATCAACATTCTCCCAAATATTGCATTGCTTCCTACATGGAAGACATCATAAGCAAACTGCTTCTCGATACGCCACTATAATATACGAGTTCAACTACTTACAAAAATTTTTTGCCACCTCCAAACAGCATATAAACAATCACAAAGAATGGTAGTTCTCTTCAACATATCTTCAATGAAATCAAGCTTTGATTATTTAGCTCTTGCTCTAACTCCGAATCATCAAATGAGAGGTCTACGTAGTCTATTATACAAAACCGCAAATGTTGCCATACCAATATTCTTGTGCCAGCATCACCACCGACAAACTCTGAAAAGAGAAGTGAATACTTCCAATTATCAAAACTATAGGATATATACTTCAAGTATATCCTTCCAAAACTAGATTAAATCTCTTGATCGATCCCTGCCTTTAAGGATATAAAGCAATGTATAATATATTTCACACCTAAGATCTTCAAGAAACCTTCCCGAAATAGAAATTCTTATCTATTATAAGGGATAATGCCATAGTATAACATACTAGCTACCTCCGTAATACGGAACTAATATAAACTTCCCAGGCATATGCTACTTGAACTAGCGTTAACTAGTGAACTTGGTTAATTCATCACCATGTCCCATATGAAATTATAATTTCAATTTGAGGTAGATAATCTCTCTATGTCATCCACGTATGCTTGTTTCCACATCTACTCCTGTTATAGGAAATGACTACAAGATTTTAATAAATATCTGATGATCATCTTTTCACTCTTCTAACATGTGCTATACTTAAAGACAATTATGAATATGCCCCTACTCCTACCTGTTCACCAAAATCAGAAAAGGTACCATTAGTCATCCTTGGTACTGCAAACCTCCGTCTGCGCCCATTGTTTAACTTGGAGAATCTTTAAAAGCTAACTCTATAATTGTATCCATGCACCACTAATCTGTGATAGACTTATCGATAATGAAAGTCAACTGGTACTTTAACTCATCCAAAAATCAACTAACTACCACCTTTTCATACACACCGTGCACCTCTTCTTGTTATATAGGTGATCAAACAATTTTGTCTTTAACACACCCTGTTTCTTTAACACAGGTAAGTATCAATCAGATTTCTTATCTAACTTCAAAAGAATATGGAACCTCTCAATCCATCAAATAGGTCATCAATTTCTTAGCAACAACTATTTGTTGCGAATTAACAACTCCATATTATTTATGCAAGTGAAGAGACCAAATTTCTTCCTCCATGTGTAACACTGGCAATTCCTTTTAATAACATTCCCCTATGAATAAATTCTTAATTAAGAATAGATTGATAAAAATTTATTCAGTCTCCTGTCCTCACTTGGTGTCATTCTAGTAGGTACCTGAGCAATAAAATAGATACCTAAACTAAACCAATACAAAGTCATCATTCTAACTTGGTAACAACTCTGGAATTTTCAAAAAGATGTTCTACAAATCTTTCACCTTTGATAAACCATCGTGGCGATACAGTGGTCTTTATTTAACCCACACCCTCATGAATACAAAAATATTACTAAAGCACCATTATGTTATGGCATTGCAACAAGATACGTATCTCGACTTCTCGACTTAGCGTAAAAATATTTCAAACTAATCATTCCAGATTATTTAACTCATGGTGATGGTTTAACTATTCGATCCTAGATAACATACCATATTGATGCAAGTCCAGGTCCAATAGATTTGCTAAAATTATGTATATCTACCAAATCCTTGTGACCGCATGCTTACAACTTTAGTGTAAAACAACGTTAACACTCTATGGTGTGGAAATATTAGGTAGTTGATCACATACTTGTGTCATCAACTAAATCACATACCAAAATCCTGAATACCAAGGAAAATAAAATTTATATAACATACAAATTAAAACGTAATGTACTCATACTTAAAACATCGTTCTTTCTAGGGAAAATCTCTTTTGAAATCAAACTTACAAAAATTATTTCACACAATTTCATTTTATAGTTTCGTAGGTAATCATCCAACCTCGAAACATAACCTTTAAACATAAATAAAGCTAAAATTTGTTTGCCTAACCAATTACCAATGGTTCAACCATACGCCTCCTTATACGAGAAATGTAAATTGTCCAACGTGCCTTTATAAAGCAAATTATAGAAATGTCATAACATAATACCAATGTTCTTTTAAATGTGATATATATAAAATCAAACGGTTCATTTAAATAAGAACTCCATCAGATCCCTAAACTTTTGGAGAATACTTTATATATATATATATCTCTTTTAGAGATGAAAATAAAGCTTAATTATATGTAGATTGAACAACTCTAATTCCTCTAATATCATTCGCTATACTACT